CCCCCTCCCTCCTCCACCCCCATATTCACCTTTCCTGAGATAAACCCTTTTGCCTTTTTAGCTGATTCTGTTGGTGTAAAACCTCAGTGTCTCTTCATAGTGCTGCTTTGTAACTGTTAATGTCAGGCATTGTCTTCTGACAACCTTACCCCCCAATAAGGTTCTTTTGTAACACTGAGTAAGTCAGTATTTGGCATTTTCGTGGTTGTGACCATGCAAATGTTCTTCATGGCCAGTGGGAGTCACCCTTCCTGATCACACTTCCTGCGCAGCTTCTCTTCCCTGGACTTAATAATGGATTTCTTGTTTGTTTCTCTGTAGTCATCACTACTTAGCTCTCAATTCTTTGCCCGTTGTCTCAATTGCATCTCAAGATGTTTATGGGAAGATGAGTTGTTAGATTAATTTTATTTTCCAGAAGCCTCCTCTGCATCTTCCTGCCCTGCTCCACCTGCCAGGGCATCTGAGAATCCCCGTCCACAGCCACTGTCCTGGGGTCCCTCCCCGCACCCCGTGGTGGGTACAGAACTGTGAGGACCATGGTGTCCTACCGGGATGGGGTTTCTAGCCCTCACATGCATCAGGTGGAGTCAGGGGAGAGTGAAGAGCTGTCACACCTGCATGTCTGCACAACACCAAGCTACCTGCACATGCTCTTTTCCTCAGGGAGCTCCTTAGGACTTTCTCCAAAATCCAAGAATGAGCAGGAAGGAGGAAGAGTCTGGGGATGTGCCAGCCATGGGAGCCCTTTCAGTCCAGGAGCTCAGGTTCTTCAGCTGGGAAATTGTATTGGGGAGAAAAAAATTGAAGTAGTTTCTGCTGTGACCCATGGTCATGTTCATATTTAAGAGTGAAGGATAGAGAGCCGAGTGGATACATCCAGATGGCACTGGCTCATCACTGTGGAGACCTGACCAAGCTGGGGAAGCTGCAGAGAGCATTCTCTGTGGCCTTTCTTCTGGTTGGTGAGATGCTCTTGCTTAGATAATGACAGCTGGCTGCCAGCGTCCCAAGAAGTAAGCCCTAGAGTCTAGAGGACTGCAAGGGTGCGGGCGGGTGGCACCCCTCCATGCCAGCTGCTCCCCTTGCCTTCGGGCTGCTGCAGCCCAGACTATACCTCCCCGTCAGAGACGATGCCTCTGGCTGGAGAGTCGGGTGCTAGGCTTCCTTTCTTGCTCCCAAAATCTCTTTGCTCCTGTTCCCTTTCCTGGCTTCTTCGTCCTTACGGGTTTGCAGCTTCAGAAAGTCTCCTTTCTGTTGTTTAGTGAGTAGGGCTTTAGCAGAGATTAGGAGGGATGCTGTGTTCAAACCACCATCTTTACTCAGCAGCCTGCATCACCGTAATTTCCCAGCTGTCACAGCACTGGAAGAATTAACTTGTTCTAAATGTCAAACATTCCTCCTGTGTGTTACTATGTCAGGAGAAAATATTAATGAGCATCCTACTCAGATCTACAGATATGCTTCTTTGAGGTGGGGCTGTGATATAAACAGTACTTAGAGATGTTCCCAAATCTGAATGGCAAGTGTTTAGCATATGTACGTGAGTATTTATAGGCGATCACCAGCCAGACGCTTGTAAACTACTGTAGAACATCACTGGCTACATCTCACCTACTTTAAAAAAAAAAAAAAAAGACAGCTGTGGAAACAAACAACTAGACTAGGAAAAACCTCAGGAAATATTTTTACAGCTGGGTCAGAAGAGTATTTTATAGTTGTTCCTCCGACTCCTGCTTGTCTTTAGGCAAAGCAATTTATTTGTTTTAAAGGAAGAAAAAAAATCTTAAGAGTACTGGCAACATATATTCTTTTAAACACATTTCTCTGTTATTTATTAAATATTGTTATTTAATAAATACAGTAAGATGAAAAGGAAAAAATTTCCCTTCGGTGCTGTTTATTTTTTTTACCTGAAAATATGTAATAGGTTAATAGCTGTTTGAAAATATTTGGATCTTTGACAGTACCACCTATCCTGTATTTACAGATAAGTCCAAAATGTACACACTTGACCCCTCCCCTTGGCATGAGCCTGGTGCCGTATCCCTCAGAACCCAGGTGACGTGTGTGAGTCGTCACGCTAGACGTAGCCAGCCTTCAGTGGAGCATAATATCAGTTTTGTTTGTTAATTTTTCCCATTCACTGAATTTTTTTTTAAAGACTTAATCTTTTAGAGGACTTCTTGGTTCATAGCAAAATTGAGGGGAAGGTCCAGTGATTTCCCACGTAACCCCCGTCCCCACACACACGTACAGCCCCTCACTTTTCACACCCCCACCAGAGGTGAACCTGCATCGACATATCATCACCCAAAGTCTGTAGTTTACATCAGGGCTCACTCTTGGTGCTGTACATTCTACAGGTTGGGACAAATGTATAATGGCATGTGTCCACCATGACAGTGTCATACAGTCATTTCACTGCCCAAAAAATCCTCTGTGCTCTGCCTGTTCATCTCTCGGCCCACCCAACCCCTGGCAGCCACTGCTCTCTTCTTTACTGTCTCGGTAGTTTTACCTTTTCCTCAGTTTCATAGAGCTGGACTCATACAGAATGTAGCCTTCCAGGTGGGCTTCTTTCACTGAGTCATATACATTCAAGGTTCTTCGGGTCTTTTTGTGGCCTGATAGCTTATTTCTTTCTAGCACTGAATAATACTCCATGGTCTGTATGGACCACAGTTTACTTATCTACTCACTTACTGGAAGACAGCTTGTTTTCGTAGGACATCGTTTCTTGCCCTTCACTTCAGTCCACCCCTCCTTTTCTGATGATCTCCAGTGTCAGTGCCCAGCTCACAGTATCACCAGCCTTCTAGTCACTTAAGCTGAACACTTGAGAGAAATCTCTAACCGTTTTCTGCTCCTGTCCCTCGCGTCTCCTCCACAGCTGTATCTATCCACTCTGACTTAGAAACGTACCTTACTAATCCTCTCCGTGTGGCTCCCACCCTTACATCCCCAGGGCCCTCCTCTTCTCTCGGTTTCCCAGGGTCCGCTTAGTCTTCCCCGTGAGCCTGGCTTCTCCCTCCCGGCCCGTCACGTGCTGCTCGAGACTCAAGGCGGAGTTCTCCTGACCTTCTGGGTCTTGAGGCTCAGTCCCCTGCTCGTCCCCCTCGTGCTCTTCTCCCTGCTCCATCCCTCACCTGCAGAATGGAAGTCATGGTGTTTGCAATCCTTTATAGTCATGTCCCATCAAAAAAAATGCTTTTTCAGATTTTGCCCTTGTTCTTACATCATCAGACTCTTCACTCCTCTGTGGGCTGGAAATGCCCTTCACATTTCTCTCTCCTGAAACCTACTCGCGTTTCAAGCCTTCCCCCAGATGCCACATCCCCGTGAGCCCGTCTGAGCTATCTCTTGTTAGGGTTACTTTACCTCTGCCCCTAGAGCACTCGGCAAGTTTAGCCTCCTTCATAAGGCACCTCGGATCCTTTTCTTTCCATTAGACTGTGGGTGAGCACCCTGGGGTCAGGACTAGATCTTACCTATCTTTGTTTCTTCCTTGAACCTAAACCTGACTCGGAAATGATATTTAGTCGTTGTTTGATAGGTCTTGAACATACATTCAGTATATAGGAATTTTAGGTAAGGATTTCTCAGATTTCAAGTACCTAGGAGTAATAAACAGCCCAAGTTCCTTAATGCCTTGGGATTTAGTAGTTTGTGTGTGTGTGGCGGTGCTGCGCAAGTATAGTTATTCAGAGCTCAGCTACTCACAGCCTTATTTACTCAATAGTGGAGGAACAGTCAGTAAAGTAAAGCCCACCCAGTAGAGCTAGAGTCCCTCCACACAGGTGAGCCTTTCCAACCTGTGCGGCAGGCTGCTTATAAACCATGGTAAGTAGGTTGATTTATCATGTTTCCAAGCCTGTGGCAGATAAGGAGGAGTACAGAACCCCGAGGGTGTGAGATTGCCATCTGTTAGCATGAACGTACAAGTTCACGACACATTCTAGTAAACTTTCTGTTCAGAAACTGTACAAATAGAAAGGAATTTAGTGTCAGTTCTGTGCTATCCGGATGGGTCTCAATAGGAAAGTTTTACTGTGTCAAAATGACTCTTCTGCTGTATCCTTGAGAACAATTAAATGGCCAGGGAAAATGGTGAGGCTATTCTAGAAGGGATGGAAATATTCCTGTTTCCAGGTAGCTCAGCTGGAGTCAGTAACCTCCCACCACCAGCTCCCACCAGGCTAACTCTTGACTTACTGTCAGTGTTGCTTCCTCTTCCAGTTTTGGAACATGAAGTCGAAAGACTCACTAACTTAATTCAGGACAGTAGCTATACACTTAAAAAGCCATTTCCAAAAACATGTATTTCCTTGAGAAGTGGTTTTGCATTAAAAATGTTATTGAAGAAAATTCTGATGTATTAAGTGTAGAGTTAACCAGAAAGGCTTGCTCTGAGCTTCTATGTGTACTGGCCATGTAATGCCTGTCACCTATGAAACCGAGTAATGGAACTTGTGTGCAGGCAGGAGATAGGGCTGGGGCAGTGAGAACGTTCTGAAAACTAATTCTAAAAAAGCCATAATAATTTGATGCACTACGCCTTATACAGTTTATTAATTTATAATTGAGTGAGACATTTTAAAGCCGTCTTCTCAGATTTTATTCAGATGTTAACTTTAAATTTTCACGTTCTTTTTACAGAGCCTTCCTAATATTCTCACTGATGATCGATTTAAAGTTATGTTTGAGAACCCTGACTTCCAAGTAGACGAAGAGAGTGAAGAATTTAGGCTTTTGAATCCACTTGTTTCAAAAATTAGTGAAAAAAGAAAGAAGAAACTAAGACTCTTAGAGCAGCAAGAACATCGTGAAAAGGTAAGTACTGTTTATCCTGCAGAATTTGCTGCTGTTTCTTTAGTGTAACATCTTCTCTGAGTGAGAAGAGCCTTTGAGTAGAGCTGAGGTGAGTTTGTTTGGCCTTCAGCTCAGGAGTGTATCTTGTTCAGTCCTGGACACTTTCCCCGATGCGTGCGATGTCACGTAGTCTCATGGGCTAATGCTATTTAAGAGAAAATAATGGGCCAGTGATTGGTTGGGGAAAGGAGCTGCGTCTCACTATTTTTATTTTCAGGAAGAGGAGGAAGAACCGGAAGGAAAACCAAGTGATGCAGAAAGTTCTGAGAGTTCAGACGACGAAAAAGGCTGGGTTGAAGAGGTCAGGAAGCAGCGCAGACTCCTGCAGCAGGAAGAAAGAGTGAAGCGGCAGCAGCAGCTCAGGGAGGACCAGCAGACGGTCCTCAAACCCCAGTTTTATGAGATCAAAGCAGGCGAAGAATTCAGGAGCTTCAAAGATTCTGCCACCAAGCAGAGGCTTATGAAGTGAGTGACGCGCCCTTCAGTGCCAGGGCCTTGCCTTGCCTCAGTCTGGTCTGTGGAGTTAGCATGTTTGCGTACAGTACGATGCAAGGTGTAGCCTGAGTGTTGGCGAGTGTATCTTAGGACACATTTACACTGCAAAACCACACTCTCGTGTTGTCCTTGTGTTTTCCCCACCGGGCCCCCCAGCCTGCAGATTCCCTGCTCTACAGACCTGTAGTCTTCTGTAGAGTCGCAACTGAGGTAACCTTCTTTGCCTCTTAACAACAAGTTATTTTTAACAATTAGAATTTCAGTTATGTGTACCCCCATCTCAGTTTACCTGGTTATTGAAAAGGCCACTTGGGAAATTTGCCAGCAATGCTAAGCCTGCAGGAGAATTGAGAGGTAAGAGCGAGTGGCATTCTGGAGCAGCCAGGCACAGAGAGAGGTCGATAGAAAGCGCTGCTGGTCACACAGGAACGTCATTTTAACCTTTCGAGAAACTGCCAAACTGCTTTCCAAGGGGGCTGCTCCATTCTCCGTTCCCACCAGCAGCGTGTGCAGCTCGCTCCTCATGTGGCCGATACTCTTCCGTCGTTTGTTTGGAGCCCTGTCCAGGGCTTGTTCCTGGGACTCTGGCTGTGGGTTGAGTCTGTTAGGTTACCTGCTGTTCCCGTCCTGCTTCCTTCACTTCATCCCCAGCTCCTGAGTCGGGGCCTACCCAGGAGCAGGCACATGGTCAGTCTTGTGAAAGCGTGAGTCCTCTAGGCCTTGGCCAAACATCAACCTGCTCAGGAAGTTGCCCTTTTCAGTATCTGCTGGAAAGGAACTTATTTGCCCCCAACCCATTGACTGGGGAAATCTGGGAGCAGTTGTTTGTAGTGTAACCATGGTAACGGGGCTGTGATTTGGGGGTGGGAGGCATGGCTGATCTCACTGACATTCTTTTTCTGCCTGTGGATTTAGCAGGATATACTGTAAAAAGCAAAGGGGATGAAAGTTTAGTAGTTAGTGAATAAATAATAGCTAAGTTAATACACTGCACTTAAACTTCTTACTAAGTTAAACATCATAAATTAAACATTTTTTGAGAAGAGGAGCTATGTAAGTAATAATACTTATATGAGCTTAAAAGAAAATCCCGTTGTTATTACCCTTTGGTATGGACAGCCTGCAGTTTGCTGGCATCTTGGCACAAACTGCTATTGAGTTCTAGTCTTGACCAGATTATTGTGGCAAATCTTGAACTTGTAGTATTTTAATATCATTTACTCAAGCAGTGACCCATTATCCTCCAGGGACCTAAAGTGGCTCCTTATGTTTATTCTGGGAGTTACCACCGGCAATTAATAAATCACGTCAGAATTGAGTGTATTATATTTAGATGTTCACTTGGACTTGCCCAGCTTTAAACTACTTCTGTAAAGGAACAGTGAATAGTGAATTGTAATGCATACTCAAGTGAGCTCTCTTCTCTGCTTTGCTTAGTAACATGGCTTTAGATGAACATATGTGCCTGTCAGCACACTTATTTACCTTACGGTATGCTCTGCGGTACTGGTGAGCTCATGCATCCACTGTCAGCCTCCCACCCCATTCATCAGCCCGGCATTGGCGCAGTGCCTGGTGTGAGCAGAGTGCTCGAGATCCAGGGCTGGAAGGGGAGCACAGCCCACACGCCAGCGGCCGTCCTGGTCTAGCTGATCCTCATGAGCTGTAACAGCCAGGCAAACGGGGCACCAGAGAGGAAGGGACTTCAGTGGAGGTTTAGGGAAGTCCGTAAGAGAGGCTGCGTTAGAGCTGGTCTTTCAACAGATGAAAAAGATGGGCACTGAAAGCAGGGTGGGGGGGTGGCGTCTTAGGCAGCGGCAGCGGTGTGACAGTTGAGAGGACAGCTGTTTTTGTGCAGCGAGAGCAAGGCGACATGGAGCCAGCCCCCGCAGATGAGGCCAGAAAGGCATGCTGGGCCCCACCCAGGCACTGGAGAGCCAGGGGAGTGTTTTAAGCCAAAATTAAGGTAATGAAACCCCTCCCCCATTGTGTAAATACTTTGATAATAAAAGCAGTACACGTTTGTTGTAGAAAATAAAAACAAAAACACATAGGCATAAAAAGTCCATATTTCCCAGAAACTGTTCATGAGAAATCTCAGTTTTAGAGAGAAAATGCAGGGAGCCACTAGACACCTGAGAGGAGCTGACAAACCATACACTAGTCCCGGTGGGAAGCGACAAAGCCTGAACTATGGGGTAGAGGAAGAGAAGAACTTAGATCCATCGCATTCACTGTAGAACAGGAACGGAAAACAGGCTCCCACCACAACATTCTTCGCTCACCAATTTCACATCAGAAGACAGAGGAGTAGCCGGGTGAGGTTGAAATGTCTGGCAGTGTTGCCATCGAGATGAAGAGCACAGTGGAGAGCAGGTGTAAGGCCCAAAATGTTAAGTCTTGGTGGGGCTTAGCACAAGCCCCATTTGGGGCCTCTTTGGGTGTTTTTTTTTAGAATTTCCTTTAGAATATATTACCTAGAGATGGAATTTCCTGGGTCAGAAGGGTGTGTGATAGGTAAGGGCAAATTGCCCTCCTAGAGGTCTTGGAGCACTTGGCACTCTGACAAGAGGCCTGTTCCCCACACTTGCAAGAGCAGTGGGTATTAGGAATCTTTCAGAGATTTAACTGCGCTGATCAGCGGGCTGTCAGATTTATGAGATGGGGGTTTCGAAGCAATGTGTGCAAACTGCAGCCACTGATTTTACAGCACATATAAATATCTGTCAGCATTACACTGTATCTAAATCAAGGACTTAAATTTTCAAATACTTAAAATTCACCATATATCTGTGGATTCCATTTCTCCATTCCCTGTGATGTAGACTATGGAGGGTGATTCCTTTATTTTGAGTTAATTTCACCTTTCTAAATGCCAGACTAAACCTTCACTCCCCTGGTCCATTTTCATGCAGTGATTTAAAAGACTCTCAGTTGAGCATTATTGTTAATCAGATAGTTTTAATTAAATATTAGTGTGTTTGCTGTACAGACTCAAGCAGGCAAACCATTGCGCTGTCCTGGGCCTCTGGTCAGTATCTAACTTGGGTTTTTCCCTTGTCGTTTGTGCCCGTTTTTAATCTTTTCTTTTAGTACAGCCCTGCTGAGAGTGTAGGTTCTTCCCTATGCCCGCTCCAGCCTGTCCTGAGTAATTCTTCTCACTTTCCACCCTCTGAATCCCATCTCTATCTTCTTGGCAATCCCCACAAATTTGGGCGGTTTTTTGTGTATCTTGTGACAGTGAGATTGTTCCCTAAATTCTTTACTGTCAGCTGCAGAGGAGCCCACGGCCAGCAGACCCAGACCCAGGCAGGCAGGCAGGAGGGGAAGGCAGGGGACAGTGTCCTCTGCCAGGCCGGCAGGCGGCTCTCAGCACTCTGTTCTCTTCCATTCTGCTCCAGTAGACAGTTTTGGGGGCCTGTCTACTTCCCAGTCATCTCTGGCCAGGCTCACACTGAAGCAGCAGGCTTCAGAACTGCTGGTAGCAGCCCCGTCTGTAAACTGACTTTCAAAGGGAGGGAAGTGGAACTAACCGGCTTTCATGTAGCAGGCTCCACACTCGGCCCGTGTCTGATCTCCTGCCACAGCTCCTGCATAGTCGGTCTCTCCCCGCGGCCCAGACAGAACAAGTTCTTACAGGTGCGCATCCAAATACGCAGAGAGACCCAGGGTTTATGTGCCTGCCATGGAGGAAGTAGGTCATTTTTAAAAGAGTAGTAATTTCCCACAATTTACTTTAAAAGTCTTTTTCTTCCCAAATTAGTGTCTTCTGTGTGCCACCTTGTCTCCGTGGCTCCACAGTTATTCACCATCCCTGTTAACTTTAAAACTCCAGGGTTTATGGCTCTGAAGGGAACAGAAAGGAAGTGAGCAGGTCGAGGAATCTGCTTAGGCTGACGATTCACACGCAGGGCGCGTCCCTTTGCATCTCACGTTTGAATTCTTGGTTTAAAAAAGCCAAAGTGAGTCTTAATTTCATGCAGGTTGTCGTGTGGAAACTTGTCATTTAGAATCCTTAATGGACACATTTCCTGAACAAAACTGATAAAACAAGTGTGGTCTGACACATGCCTGGAGGCCAGAAGTTCTTACACTGAATCCCGGTCTTCCTGTGTCGCCCAGGGCAAGTCATCTAATGTCTTACCTCCCCTTTGCCATCTGTAAAGGATAAATACTTCTGTCTCAGGGATGTTGAAAGGATTAATTAGTTAGTCTGTGAAGAACTTTAAAGATGAAAAGTACTTTAAAAGTGCTTCTTAATAACATTATTGCTTGGAAAAGAGAGCCACTTTATGTCTCAAATTATATAAGGAGGTGTGTTTAGTGCCTTACAGTCGCCATAAACTGGAGAGCACTCTCACGGGGCGGACATCAAACGCCAGCCTCAACGGTCCGAGGAGCAGCTGAGGGGCCTTTCAGGAGCTGAGTTGTACTCAGTGATTAGTCAGAGGTCAGACTCCAGGAAAAATGAGGCTCTTTCACACAAATCACCCCCTTTTTATTCAGTCTAGTTTTTCAGGATTAACTTTAAAAGGGTACGTTCAGCTTTAAATTCGTAGGAGGGTTGAGGAGGGAAGTGTATTTTCTCTATTTTGAGATGGGAGCAGAATAGAAGACAGAATCACATTCTTTCATTTTTTTCCCTCTCTCCCAGTTTCATCACAGGGTATGAGGGTGTTGCTTCAGCCTTTTCCAGACAGGTTCGTGCTGATGTTAAAAATTACTCAAAGTGTCTATCTTTAGGTTTATTTCCATTTTCTCCCTCTAAACCAAGTTAACAAAAAGGGCCAGTGTTTTGATTTTCCAATAAAACATTATAACAGCATGCAATGCAGTGTTACATAATTGGTATAGAATTCACATTTAACCTAGATTGTGAAGAGGTGATGGGAAGGTGTTAATTAAGCAGATGACAGTGAACTGCAGGGCACAGCAAACCATAACAGGGACACAGATCACACAGAGAGACCCTAGAGAAGTTTGGGGAACATGATAAGGAAATGGAATGAGCTTTAAGTTTGGGGTAAAGTGTGTCAGGAGGTCATTCAAGTGAGAAGGTGAAAGGCACCTGAGAAGTGCAGTGACCAGGGCTGAATGGGGTGGGGTATACAGTCGGCATAGTTGCTTCTCTGTATAAATGGAAGATTCATGGTTCAGGTTGTTCATGCTGTGGGTGGTGAGTGTGGCCCCGGCTAAGACCAGGAGAGGGAGAGTCAGAATTCTAGCACTGCTCTGTGGCTTGACCTACAGGACTTAGTTTGTGTTCACCCTTTGTGGAAGGGGAATGAGGTACTGAACACTCACACCCCAAACTCGTGCCTGGTTTAGATACAAAATGCTTCAGTGGCATAAGGGCCATTGACCATGGCGCTAAATTTCAGGCTTCAGAAATATGATTTAGTAAGATAAGTAGCAACCACTGAAATATTTGGAACCACCACTTAAAATGTTAAATTAGTGCCCGACTGGGCGTGGCTCAGCGGTTGAGCATCGACCTAGGATCCAGGAGATTGCGGTTCAGTTCCCAGTCAGGGGACATGCCTGGGTTGCGGGCTCGATCCCCAGTCGGAGGCGTGCAGGAGGCAGCCAATAATGACGACTCTCTCATCATTGATGTTTCTCTCTCTCTCTCCCTCTCTCTCTCTCTCCACCTTCCTCTCTCTGAAATCAATAAAGACATATTAAAAAATAAATAAATTAGCCCGGCTGGGCATGGCTCAGCGATTGAGCGTTGGCCTGGGATCCAGGCTATCGGGGTACGATTCCCGGTCAGGGCACATGCCTGGGTTGCGGGCTCGATCAATGACTCTCTCATCACTGATGTTTCTCTCTCTCTCTCTCCCCTTCTCGTTTCCTCTCTCTGAAATCAATAAAGATATATTTGAAGAAAAAAAAATTAAATTAGTGGGTGTTCGGACAGCCCTTGTTTTTTTTTTACTGTGTACTTATTGAGCAGGAGAAATGGCTCCCAGCTCTTCCCACCGATGTGTCAAGTGAATCCATTTCCTGTCTTCACCACATGTACATGTGTAAAGGGTTTTTCTTTGTGCCATCAATCCTAATTAAAACTTGTTTCAAATGGTGAATCAAGACATAATGCTAATTACTTTACCTTTTCTTAAATTTCTTACAGTAAAACCCTAGAAGATCGGTTGAAACTTGAGGCAAAAAATGGGACATTGAGTGTATCAGACACCACAGTTGGCAGCAAGCAGTTGACATTCACGTTAAAGAGGGTAAGTTGATTTTTAATGTTATTTTTTTAATTCACTAACCAAAACTCAGCTTCCGGCAGTGCTGTGAGTGTCTGACCTCAAGCTGCTTCCGAAGCTCTTCTCTTGAGGCAACTGTGCCTGTTGGAGCGTTTTCCCCGCAGACAGAGAGCCCTTCATGAGCTGAGAGCACACTGTTTGGTTTGGCAGAGCCAGGCGTTTTTCTGGTGTCCTTATGACCCAGGATTTGTCACTGTTGGTTTCTGGGTCACTGGGCCACCTGAGAGTTAGCCTTGTAAAGCCAAAGTCCTGGCCATCTAAGGCCTCAAGAGAATACTAAAGCTTATGTGGACTTTAAAGAACTGGTGAGTCTGATACATTCGTGGCAGCGACGTGCAGCTTGCCTAGGGATCTGTAGTCCAGAAGGCGAATTACTCTGCCAGTGTAGGTCCTGTTGCAACTGGTTTATAAGTCATTTCTTTAGCCAGCTTTATTAAGGCCTGGCACACGTTATAGGAGAGACAGGCTGCTTAAACATTTGCTATTAACTAATGAGTAAAACTAATGGTTTTATTTTTCAAAAACATTCTTCTCATTCAATGGATCTCCCTGAATATATATTGTTACCAGGTGGGAAAGAATGGCCAAGGTTCTACCTCAGATTTTTTTTAAATTGAGATGTAGTTCATACCATAGAATTCACCCTTTTAAAGATACAATTCATGATTTAAGTTAATCATCACCATTATCTAATTCTAGAACATCCTTGTCACCCCAGAAGGAAACCCCATAACCCTTGGCAGTCACCCCATACCCCCATTTTCCCAGCCCTGGGCAACCACTAGTCTACTTCCTGTCTCTGTGGATCTGCCTATTTGGACATTTCCTATAAATGGAATCATATAGTTTTTTCTTTTGCGACTGGCCTCTTCCATTTCACGGAATTTTCAAGGTTAATCCACGTTGTAGCATGGATCAGAACTTCCTTCCTCCTGATGACTGAGTCATACTTCCTGTGGATAATGCCGCATGTTGCTTATCCACCCATTAATGGACATTTGGGTTTCCCCTTTTTTGTCTATTATGGATAGTGCTGCTATGAAACTTCAGGTATGTGGTGTTGCGTGGACATGTGTTTTCATTTCTCTTGGGGGTACACCCAGGAGTGGAATTGCTGAGTCATGTCATAACTTTTTCAGGAGCTGCCAGACTTTTCCAAAGTGACTGCACTGCTGTACATTCCCCGCAGAGTGTACGAAGCTTCCATTTTTTCCACACCCTAACACTTGTTGTCCGCCTGTTTCATTGCAGTCACTCTAGTAGCTGTGAAGTGGCATCTCACTGTGGTTTTGATTTGCGTCTCCCTAATGACTGGTGATGTGGAGCATCTTTGTATGTGCTTATTGGCTATGTGTATATTGTTCACTTCCTCTGCCCATTTACCTCTGATTCTTTGGCAGTCCTCTCTGATGGCATCAGGCTTGCCAAATGATAAGAACTTTTTTTTTTTTAGTTAGCATTCATCTCATATATGTATAATAAAAAGAAAAGGCAAAAAAACAAAACCTTTTTCTTGGTGGTGAGAACAGTTAGGGTTCACTCTCAACAACTCCCGCGTACGCCCTGCAGCGGCGGTGGCCGTCACGCCGCACGTGGCGCTCTCGGGCCTGTTATCTTGTAATCAGAGTTTGTACTGTTGACCACCTTCCTCCAGTTCCCCTCCCTCCACCTCCATGAGAATTATGTTATTCCAAGTATAAGAAGTTTTTCAGGTCCAGCTGTCTGCATTTAGAGCAAATATTGGTCAATGTCCAGCAGGCACCATAGGGCTCTGTAAGGCTTTTCTTCCAACTTTTGAAACTTGTGTCCCTGACAGTGTTTTCTCAGCTCATTGCAATTCTACCAGCTCAAAAAATATATTGTGAAAACCATCAGATGTGTTTGTAAAACTGCTCAGCTGTTACCTTCCCGTGGATTCTGTGTTGATTCTCTTCTAAGAATTTTTGCTGAGAGTAGTGAAGAGTTTGGAGCGGGCCTGAGCAAATGAGTGTTGAGAAAATGCCTTCTCAGCAGCCAGCCAGCAACTTGTGGCTTATCTGCCGAACTGCTATCAGTGTCTGATGGGAGCAGATCTCTGGGTTTCAAGGGGAGTTTTATTTTTCAAAAACAGCCAAAAATTCTTTGGAACCAGTTCTGGTGAATGCGGTGCTTAGTCGTGGGTGGGTTATAATACACTTTAATGCACATGAGTATTTTTTTGTTTTTAAGACAGTGTGAATAAACCAGTGGTTCTGGCTTATAAATAAAAGATAGTCTCTAAGAAGTTGATGACATTTTGTGAGCACTAGTGTCTTCGGAGTTGGCTCTTTTCTGAGGGACCATCCATTTGGAGCGTCCTGGCAGCATTGTGTGGTGGTTCTGACTGCTCTGTCAGGGTACTTGTCCTGCCCAGGGGTGTAGAGTTTCTTGTGTGACAGTGACAGTGGGCCCTTGTCCTGGTGCTGCGGCGGCAGCTGCTGCCAGGCAGCATTGGTCAGAGCAGAGGCCAGGTGCCAGACCGTGTACCCTGGGTCCTATGGGCCGCTTTGTCCTGCAGCAGGGCTGTGATTGGTGGTCTGTGCTGTTGGCATTCTGAAGATTACCAAATCTCTTTCCCTCTCATTTAATTTTCTCTTTTAAAAAGTCTGAACAGCAGAAGAAGCAACAGGAGGCTGAGAAACTGCACCGACAGGAAAGGAAAGCCCTGCGTCGCCCTGCTGCTCACCTGAAGTCCAGACACAAGCGAGGACGGCCCTTTCACTAAGTCTGGATGTGACCCCAACACGTGATTCAGAGGGAGCTTGCCTCCTGCAAGCAGGTCATCACTAGAGCACGTTGAACGCAGATGGGGAGCACACATGTCGGACTTCCCCGTGAGTTCCTGACATGTCTCCAGAGGTTAAGATCTAGCAACTTGTCCCTGCGCCTTCCGGGTCAGAACGTCATCCCCAGGTTGCAAAAGATGTTGCCCCTCCCCCTAAACGTCGTCCTTTCCCCCATTTTAATCAAGTAGACCAGGTGGTCGTTTCTTAACATTGGGAAATGTGTACCATGACATGGGGGGTCGCCTGCGTCCAAAACAGGTTGATCACATTCCAGGAGCTTTCTGTTCCGGGGCGCCACCACTCACGAGTGGACCACCCAGAAGCACCCTGTGTCTCAGCTCCTGTGCAGCCTCAGTTGTATGTGCATGTGTGTGCGTGCACTTGTGTCCGTGTGTGTGTGTGTGTGTGTGTGTGTGTGTGTGTGTGTAAGTGTGCTGGTAGGTGTGCTGCTGGTCTGTGTGTCAGTTTGGGATTTTTCTTTTTTAATATTTTTATACCAAGAGAATATAAATTAATGGTAATAACCTCAAACAAGAGATCAGAGCTACTGGGTATTATTTATACTCAACATAAGATTAAGTACAGACTTTTTTCTGTTTCCCAAGGCATAGATAAACATACTGGAGAAAACGTTTATAAAAATAAATACTTTCATTTGAATAGCTCCTTTGAGAAGACCCATTCCTTGAGTTAATTTGAAAATTAACTTTGGTTTCCTTAGTTTTTCAGGTATTACTCTGATTTTGTACCACTGGAATGGTAACTCTTTGGCTTGTAAATGATAGAATCGAACTCGAAAGGCTGTGAATGTGTTAATTAACATAACCTGGCTGTGGAACCTGTGACTGCCTGGGGCCATCTGAATCTGAAGACAGGACTGGCTCAGGATTCTGTCCTGTCCGTCCTTTCTTCCCTTCCTCCTGGCGCAGCGTCGGTCCTTCTCTCTCTTTCCCTGACCTCCCAGCCTGTCTGCTCTTCTGTCAGACTGGCTCCACCAATTGGGGGACAGCGTGGGTCCCACTTCCACTTCTGTGGTCCGAGAGGTAGATTCTGTTTCAAGAAAAGTCCAAAGTAAATGAGTGTGTTGGGTCTCAGAGTGGCTGAATTCTACTCAAAACTTTGAAAGAGGACAGCAAAGTATTAAAAAAAGTATATGTACAAATAAATACTATAAGTAGATACTGGGTCATTTCTTCGACATCCCCCAAAAGTTTGTATATCCAAGTTGGCATAAATTACTTTTTTCTCCTTGGGGAAATATGAATTGCCTTCTACTTGGAGTTTCCTTATGTTTGGGCATATATTATAGTAGCTTCATGTAGGACACCACGTCTTTCTGAACATGCAGGGAAATTTCCAATCCTAATCATTTTTAGTCTTAAAATTTATTTTTTATCGACTTGTAAACTTTACAGAATTAATTAGTGCCATGAAAAAGCCTACCTGTTTACATTTGAATGAATGGTTTTGGGAGTCGGGGTGCCGCCTTCCACTCAAACATGTAACCATCCCCATGTACACATACAGGTGAATGGAAATGTATTAGAGAATGTTCTGTCCTTGCCCTTAAAGTTATGGTGGCCTAGAGCCTGGAGAGTCATAGCGCACTGGGGCCTGTGTGGGCTCCTGGTGCCTAGCTCTCTGTGGGGGTGGAAACCCCCTCAGCTGCAGGTTTCCTGCTGGGTGAGAGTCCCACACACACACTTCCATGGAGGAGGAAGTGGCTACTCTGCCATGGTGGCTTCCAGACTCCCTGACTGTAAACCCAGGTGGGACTTCAAAGTTGTAGGGCTAAGCGCTTTCCTGTTGGGCGGGAGGGAGGCCAACTGTGTTTCTCTAGTAGCCTTGGGATTCTTTCAGATCCAGGACGGAATCCTGAGTCCTGGGGGTCTTCAGTTCAGCTGGCAGGACACCTGCCTGATGGGATTTCCGTCCCATCCCTTTGAACTCACTCCGCTTCTGCTCGCACCCAGCTGGCAAGGGGCCTTCTCCTCCCGCTTTGGGCGCTCCAACTGGGACTTACAATGTGGGGAGCCAAAGCCTCGCTCCCCACTCCTCCTCTATCTTCTGGGTTTCTGCGGAGCCTGGTGAGTGTCTTCTCCTTGTGGCCCCAATCCCTGTCTCCATCTCCCCTGCACAGCCCCCTTCCCTGGGGCACCCACCCCCCTACACCCTCGTATACTGTGGCTCTCGGGTGAGAAGCTCATCTCCCAACTTGGCCACCTCTGAGACCAGACTTTTCCAACCCTGCTCCAGTCCTTGGTCATGGTGGACATGGTCTTACCTTTGGCCTCCTGGATCTTGCTGCTGGCTGCTCACCTCCCACCCACACAGATGTTGATGTCCACCAGGATTTCTTCTTTAAATCTTTCATTCCTCTTCCTTACCTAGTGTCACCACCACCGCTATCACCCCGTGTTCCAGAGCCACCTCCCAAACGGCCTTTGTACCTTCCCTCTGTCTAAGAGGCCCACGGAAGCAAGTTCCACGTGCCCCAAACAGAACTTGTGGTCTGTGCCCGGCCCTCAGACACTTGTTCCTCCTCACCCTTCACCAAGTGACAAAGTCAGATCGTGGTTCTGGCCCATGTTTATTGATCAGTGCAGGTGACTGAGCCAAGGGCCCTGTCTTCATGAGGCTCACGTTTCCATGGGGGAGGCAGACCCCATCTAACAAACAGTGAAGGTGATAAGGACTGTGAGGGCTGGGAATCGGGAGTGAAGGGGGCCGTGGGGGTTGACTTTGCGGGCTGAGTCCACCCAGAGCCGCAGGTCACACCCTCTGGGCCTCCAGTGGGTGCCTTCTCGCCTCTCTTCCCTCCACTCACCCCTGTAGCTTCCCAGCCTGGCAGCCTTTTCTGCATACAGATGGCTGCAGAAGCTGGGGCCCAGAGTGCACTGTGGGAAACGGAGCCTTTCAGGATAAAGGACTCTCAGAACCAGATGGAATCTCATGAGTGGAAACAACAGAAGGAAACAGGAGCAGGCCTGGTCTGGCCCAGACTTGCTTGTGGCTGAGCTGCCGTCAGTGGCCAAGTCATTTAACCCATCCGTGCCTCGGTGTCTCTGTCTGTAAAATGGGTTTAATCTCTGTCCCCTAAAGACTTCAGAAGATGTTTGTAGAGCCTAATGAGTGAGGTCCATTAAACCCCCTCAGAAGAAAGTGCAGCTAAGTATAAAGCACTGTCGTAATTAGTTCTCAGGGTCTTTCAGCCAGGTTGTGACTCGTTTTAAGAGGGTTGCCATGACAACAGGTTTATTTGAAAAATGTAGAAGGGCGTGGTTACAAATCTCACACTAATCAGTACGTTTTATTTTGCTGGTTTCTGTTGTAATTAAGAACCTTTACCAGTAGCCTCGCACCCGCAGCCGGCTGTTACCACGGCGTCACTTCTGCAGGTGCGCGCCCCTCCGCCTGGACTGCACTCAGTGCCTGGCACCCCCAGCTCCTGGTGGTGGTTGGCCGTATAAAACTGAGCTGTGGTCATAGTACGGTTGTCCCCCCATCCACAGTTTCACTTACCTGCAGCTCAACCGTGTTCCAAAAATATTAAATGGAAAATTTCAGGAATAAACAAATGATACGTTTTACATTGTGTACCATTCTGAGTAGTGTGATGAAATATACTCCCCCACTCCCTCCCCCAGGATGCTCCGAGTAAGGCCTCAAGGAGGGCCCTGTGGGTGCCCCCTTGGGGACCAGCAAGTGTGTTTGTGTCTAGGCTGGGACAGAAGCACAAGTCATGGCATAAAGCCAGGCGGCTGCCCCGTGGAGGCCCCGCGCCTCTCCCTCAGTGCAGGGGGGCCCGGAGGCCCCGGAAGTCCTCTCGCCTCACACTCCTGCGCTTGTTTTCAGCTGCAGGAGGACAGCCCCGAGAGCCCCAGCACTCCCTGTCCCCGGCTGTCCTCCCTGTCCCGGTCATCCTCCGCTCCCGTGCTCCTGCTAAAACACTTGAGTACTGGGAGCTGAGGGAGTTGACCAGCAGCCCCAAGAAGCCCTGCTCCTCCCGGTTCCTTCCCCGGGATGTTTGTGAAGGTCCTGCACACACAACTGTGTGGAAAACTCCTGAAATAGGAAGAAGAGTCCCAGCTGAGCGTCTGGTTACTGAGAGTCTTGAAAAAATGAAGCCTGTTTCCTTCACGGTTGCCAAGTGTGCAGGTCTTCCCAGATTTGCACATCCTGCAGGTGACTCAGTCGGATTTCCCTCCCGTCCCCGTCTTGCGTGATCTGCACACACAAAGCTGGAGTGGCACCACGGGGGCCCGGCCAGCCTCTGCGCCATCGTGGCACCTGCCTGCCCTGAGCCAGACACTGGCCCCATGCTGAGCAGGGTCCACTCTGCAACCGGGCCGTTGCTCAGCTGAAACCACCATTCTTTACATAAGTAAAAATGGCCTGACCCTTCAAGGGCGGGGACAGAGGGGATTACTCTCTTTTGCCATTTTTTAAGTGCACAGTTCAGTGATGATAAGTGTATCACATTGTTCAGATGTGGGGGCCCAGCTGTGAGCATGCCCCCGAGGAGCGGCAGAGCCCTGGGTGGAAGGAACGGGGGCCCCCTCCCAGCTCAGACTGGCTCCTCACAGGCCGTTAGGTGAGAGGGAGAAAAGGCTGTTTCTTAGCCACTGGCATTTCCCATCTCCTGGTTGCCACAGCCTTGCCCACAGGCTCACCAACAGGTGTCCCTACTAAGCTCCCTGAGCATTGCCAGCACGGACCATGGGTCGTGCCAGCTCCGTGCTCCACCTGGACGAGTAGAGTAAGAGTCCTGTCTAGGAGTAGAAGTGGCTGGGCCCCAGGTTCTCGTTCTGAACCTCAGGGGTCACTGGATGGGATGTCAGGTGGACGCCGAGGACAAGGGCCCCCTTGGAGCCAGCTCTGCCCTCCGTGTTCACAGAGGGCCATGCTCCTCTGCCTCGCCACAGTCCTCAAGGCCAGGACCTGGTTTTCCTCAGCAGCACAACCCCAGTGGGTCCCCGGTCCAGGGCCAAGCAGCAGGAGGCCCCTCCGTGGCTGGAGGACAGGTGGAGACCCCTGGAGAATCGGCGGCTGGCCACATCCACAGACGCTCTGACCACAGGAGGCTGCGCGTTGAACGTGGGCGTTCCTCGGCGCCCTAGGCCGTGTTCTCCGGAGACCTGCTGTGCCCAGAGCTCCAGCTCCTTGCTGGGAGTCCCAGGTACCCGTGGCTGCTCCCAGAGCTTGATCCCAATGTGTTTGAGTCACACCACCACGTAAAAAGCTCGGAAACAAAAACGTAACAAAAGCCAGCCCCTGGAGAAGTCCCTCCTCCTTCCACCCGTGAAGGAACATTCCAGAGGACCCCATCTGCCTTAATTTCTTAGTCCGCTTTTTACCAAATGGCCGCTTGGCCACACTCTTAGTGTTCTCTTTCATCCGTGTTTTTTTCATTTTTCACGACATGGGTAGGCTGAGAAATTTCCAGACCTTAAGTTCTGGTTCCTCTTTGCTTAACGATTCCGTGTTCAGATCATTTCTCTCGCGTTTCACCGGGAGAGCCAGGCCGTTGGTTCACCGCTCTGCTCAGAACTCATGGCCCCCGAGCTCTGCCTTCCACACACTAGACCACAGACACAATCCAGCGTGTTCCTTGAGGCTGTGTCACACGGACCACCTGGCCTCCGGGGGCCAGCAACATGCTCCCCGTTTCCATGGAGACCTCAGAATGGCCTTCACCGTCCCTGCTCCTGCTAAGGGGTTCGTGGGTACCTAGGGATTCTCCGAGGAGACTGGCGTGTTCTTCAGCTCCTGTTTCCTTTGTGAGCTCTCCCCAGACTCGCCTTAGCACCCACATTTCCTAGCGTGCGCCTCAGAACTCTCGTAATACCTCCTGGTTACCCAGTGCCCAAGCGGCTCCCACGGTTTTGGGTGTTGGTTATGGAGCACCCTGTTCTCAGTGCCCCACGGGGGGCTGGGCTTCCCTTGTCTCCATGGCCTGCCTGAAGCCCGTGAGCCCATCCTCAGCCTGAGCAGTGACTGCCAAGGCAGGTGACCAGGGAGGGCCGCTGCCCCATCTCCTGCGGACAGTCTCTACCTGCCTTGCTCTGCCCATCGAGCTCATGCGCCAGGCCCCTCTCTCCTAAGCCCCCTCAGGAACATCCCCGGCTCCCATCCTGTGAGCCCAGGTTGCCCCCTCCCACCTGGGTCAGCCCCTTCCT